ACTTGGAGGGTCCGGGGACTTAGTAAGTAGGGCTCCTTAACGGGCTCTTGAAAGGATTAATACTGTTGATGGACCATTTCTGCATGACCCAAATATAGCATAGTACCATAAATCCCATAGTTTAGGTATATAAGGTCCCTAAACCCTAAACCCTAAACCCTAAACCCTATAGGGTCATGCAGGATTTTGTCCATCAACCCTATGAGCCCCAAAGAACCGAAGCCGAAACCGGTGCCATGCGAACGAAGCCTCGTCGCCTTCTTGGGGAGCCTCAGCGCAGGGTTTAGGGTTTAGGGTTTAGGGCGTAGGGTTTAGGGCTTAGGGTTTAGGGTTTATAGGGCTTATAGGGCTTTTAGGGTTCAGGGTTCAGGGTTCAGGGTTTACGGTTTATAGGTTTAGGGTTTAGGGTAGACAGAAGGACCTTTGCAGTATCCTTGTAGTACCCTTCTATATACCCTTTGTAAGAACCTTACAGACCGCTTGTAGAAATGATTGAAGCATATCACCTTATAATAGCCTTATAGAGCCCTTCTAGGATTTGTTGGCCTCAGTCTCAGGCTCAAGGGTTGAGGTTTGAGCTCGAGGTGCGTGAGTCGGGCTTAGCGGGGCGAATGTCTACACCTCAATCCGGGCTTAGGGCTTAGGGTTCAACCCTAACCCCTAAATTGAACCCCAAAACCTAAACCTAGACCACAGAACCCCGCCCTAAAGCCCTGAAGACTCTGGACAGGATGTATTTGAGAGTAGAGGCCCGGGTTGACGAGAGTCTAAGATGTCTAGGATTTAATAAGCCTTTTGGATTGCGGCTGCGGGGTTCATCAACTCTTACGTCCTAGCAAGCATACTTGAAGGTTCATGGGACTTAGTAGCGAGGGCTATAAATAAGGTAACTATACTTATGACCCCGATTAAAGTACTTATAACTGTACTTAATTAAATTCCCATGAACCTTTGAGTACGGGAGAATGCAGTCCGGCTATCTAACTACCCAGAAGCCCCATAGTAGTTCCTTGTTGGGGTTACCTTATAGGATTCTATATATGAATCCCAAAAAGGAACTACTTTGGGGCCTATGGGTAGTCATCTGGACCCATGGGGCTTCAAGATCAACAGCAGCCCTGGGTCGCTAAACCCGCAAGGCGAAACTCTACACGTCGGGTACATCCTGCATCGGCGCCTGGTTCGTTTAGTTTTTAGGGTTTAGGGTTTAGGGTTTAGGGGTTTAGGGGTTTAGTTTTTAGGGCCTCAAGGAAGAGCATTCAGCGCCCATTCACACTCGGTCTTCCTCCACTTGCCCCAGCAGGCGCAGAGACATGACTGGGGACTATACATAAGGGTGCCGTACCGATCTAGAACTGCGACCCTTAGTTAGAGAACCACCCGCACGATGAAAACCTAACTTATCCTATCTTTCCACACACCAAAACATCCAGAACCTTAGCTTATCCTCCCTCTCTTGGCACATGCTGGAGTTATCGTATAGTATGTTGTAGTGTACTATAGTACACTATCGGGCTTAGGCTAGCGTTATAGTATAGTATGTTGAAGTATAATATTATATAGTGCATCCCTATGATAGTCCCTTAAGGTCCCTTATAGTAGTCCCTATAGCCCATTCCCCCATTCCCTACTAAGCACCAGACAGCTTATAAAGGCCAGGATTCAGAGTCCTTGAGCCCCACGCGTAAACGCTCGAGTCGACATTGGTGGGTGCTCCCGTGATAGAACGCCGGACCAGGGGCAGACCCATGGCCTTGGAAAGGCTGAGCTTTTGGCTGAGGAGTTAAAGGCTTATCGGCTTTTAAGAGCTGAAGGGCTTAGAGGTTTAAGAACTTAAGGGTAGAGGTTTAGGGATGAGGGTTGAGGGTTTATATGGGGTTAAGAGCCTGAGGGCTCTAAGATTTATAAGCTATTCAAACTTTGAACTCAGAAGAGCTTAGGCTCCAAAGACGTGAGGATTGAAGGGCCGGAGGGCTTGCGGGTGTAAGGTTTAAGGGTTCGAGGTCTAAGGATATGAGAGTTTAGGCTTTTGAGTGTATTTGGTTTATATCTATATGGGTTTAGGGCTTGGGGGGTCGAGGTCATTGTAGGGTGGTTTCATAGATTTTGATGAGTTTCTATATATCATGGGCATCTCAGACAAGGTGTTTGTCTGGAGGTCTACGGCTACGGCTATAGGTGAGGAGACTTAGCTTAAGTGTAAACAAGTGGCGCTCCTTCTTGCCTTCATAATCACGGTAAGGCCCCAGACGTAAGTGGGCTTTCGGACATGGCATCCCTCAGCCCCAAACCCTAAGCCGAAACCAACAATTCTTAAACCCTATAAAACCCCCGCGGAAACCCTCCATCCTGAAGCCCTGAATCCCTGAACTGACACCTTCAATCTCAAAGCCCTAAAGCCCCCTAAAAACCCGAAACTCCTAAACCCCTAAACTGAATCTCTAAACCCTGAACTCTAAACGCAAAGCCCTGAACCTCACGAGTTCCGGGAGTGCGGCAGAGGCCATGGTCTCCACGAGCTCAGAGCCGACCTAGGGATGCTTTAGAGGGTTGAGGGTTTAGGGTTTAGGGATGAGCATAGAGATTTAGGGTTTTAAGGGGCTTTTAGTGATTAAGACTTCGGGATTTTAGGGTTTACAAATTTTGGAGCTTTAGGGCTTTTTTGGTTTAGATCTAGAGTTTGAAGGGTTTCGGGTTTAGGGTTTAAGTCTTA